AGAAAAGATGAGAAATAAATAAATAATAAAAAAATTATAGAATTTGACCAGAGCCTCATTGCACAGGAAAACAAAGTGGAAATTGTAAAAGCATATCTTTTGCTGAACATATTTTTTTCAGCTAGAAAAAAGACACGCTTTTACAACCATCTCCCATGGGAAGAGAACGAAAGCTCTACAATGTCATGCAGTAAGACATGGAGAAAGCCGCTACTATTTGGCTCCATTTTTGCTTTCCCAGTCACACTATGAATTATAGCACATTTATTAACAAACAAACTCCCTTACACTTGTATTATGCTGCCTTTCTTCCCAGTAGATCATTGTTATTAATAGTTTTTAACAGATTGTATTTTTAAATTGTGCTAAGTTTAATTTTTTTAGGCTGCAAAGATATATGACTTATGTATTGTATTGGTTAGTTTTAACATGTAAGCCGCTCTGATTACTATTATAGTAGAAAAGCGGGATGCAAATAAAAGTTTTATTTATCATTATTTATTACATTATGTCTGCTATGGCTCCATCCTACGGAATCCTGAGATTTGCAGTTTAGGGAAGAACATTTAGAATTCTGACCCAGAGTGCACTCTTGCCTCACTGTTAGCTGCCTTGAATCCCTGTACTGGGAGGAAGATGGGATATTAATTAATTAATTAATTAATTAATAATATATTAAACATCCAGGAATACATAGAATGGAACCATGGCAGTTCAAGTGGAATGACAGCACTATAAATGTGTAGTGTAAATGAGCCCATGGTCAGCAACAGTTGATGGAATGCAATACCTAATGCACTCCTTCACTCATCTCCTTTTCTCTTAGCTTTCTTCCTCTGTATTATTCTCTCCTCTGGCCTTAACCCTCTTTCAATCTCCCCTGAGGCATATTCCTGTCTCTCGCAGGCTGCTGCCACATTGTAGTATTAATATAGTTTGACACTGCTTTAACTGCAGTCCTATGGAATCCTAGGGTTTGTTGTTTGTTGTGGCACCAAAGCTCTCCAACAGAGAAGGCTATATATATATATATATATATATATATATATATATATATATCTCACAAAAACTATAAACTCCAAAATTCCATAGCATTCAGTCATGACAGTTAAAATGGTGTCAAACTGCATTAATTTTGCAGTATAGATGTAATCACAGCTGTACTTCAGCCTTACAGTGCTATATTTTAGAAAAAAAATATCCCTCCTGCATCAGTTTGGAGCAGACTACACACTGAATTGGGGTGGGAATGTACTGTCTGGAAAACAACTGAAGAATAACTCAGCTTCATGCTTAAGCTACTCTGGTTTCCTAGCAACAGGGGTTGACTCTCTATCCAACCACATCAGGCTGTTCAATAAAACAGCCTGTATAGTGATATATAAGTGGTGGCAGAAATATATACCACTATAAAGAGAAAATCAATGGTAGCCAAACTCCTTCTAGATTAACTGGTGGAAAGCTGGCCAGAGCTAGCTTAAAACATTTTGCCACCTGAGTTGAAGTAGAAGATGGGTGCTCCCTCCCATCTCCATTAAGAGAAACCAGCGGGGCTGATGATTCAATCTTACTTTGGCTGCATCTGCACTGCAAAATTAATGCAGTTTGACACTGCTTTAAATGCCATGGCTCAATGCTATAGAATTCTGGAATTTGCAATTTGATGAGATATTTAGCCTTCTCTGTCAGAGATCTCTGGTGCCACAACAAAGTCCACATCACAGAATTCCAAAGGAGTAAGCCATGACAGTTAAAGTGGTATCAAATTGTAATATTTTTGCAGTGCAGATGCAGCCTGGAGCAATGAGACACCATCTCCCCATGCACCTATGGCTAATATGCTGGTCATATGGGATGCATAGTCCTGTTCTCGTCTCCAGCATCTGCTTTCTGATGCCCCCCCAGCACCTGCTGTTTGCCTAATGATAGAGCTGGTGCTGCAGAACCATGCGGGGAAAAGGGTTGGAATAAGCAAGAAGGATAAGTGAGAAATGAGCTAGAGAGTAATGGGCTTGGGAGCAGTTGCAGATCTTTGTATTCCTACAGATATAAAGGACCTTGCCATCAAATAGTTTATGTGGGACTTGGAGGCACTATACTTGGAATGAATACTTTCAAAAGACAAATGTAAGTACTATTATTTCCTTTAAGGAAGCTATGTTTTATGCGATTAAGCATTCATTTGATTACTGTTCCTTAGGCTGCAGTCCTGAAAAAGTAAGATTCAGTAACTCAGTCCCATAAGATTTCACTTATACCTGACTTTCATTCCAGCCGGTAAGAAATATATGATAGCTTAGAAAATGGGCTTTCCCTTTCTTAGCCATTTGTGCTTCCAGCAAGCACAGGAGATCAGCAAACCACTCAAAGGCAGATGGATCTCGGCAAATCCAATAGAAATAAACCTGTCAAGGGAAAGTAAAACAATTCAACAAAGTGCAAGCTTTCATCAGGCATCCTGTATGACTCTTAAATTATTTATTTGGAGATAAGTGGCTAATCTTATAGCTGACCATGGTACTCAGGTGTAAATTTATACTTGATTTTCTATCCAGTATTGACAGTTCAGAGTTTCCTTGTTTTGAAGCACACTCCAGCATTCATTCTTATACAGTTTTGACTGGAAATCACAATGGCTGCCTTTAAGGAACTACTATAAGATGGAGACACTCTTTAACGTTTATTGAAACAGATTCTAGTAATATGAACACTTGAATGGCCTAGACAAGGGAGATGTGGCACAAATATTGCCTAAGCTATTACATTAGGGATGAGCTTGGGCATTTACTATAACAGTTACGACCATCTATGTAGGATATTTTGAATGTTCAAACCACCTGACATCCACTCACAGTAATTCTTACAACACATCAGTTATCTCAATAAATGGTACCACAAGTCTATGTGTCTGATCTTTACTTTATCCCCCATATTGCAGATGAAGAACTGAGGGCACATCTACGCTGGGTGCTTAATCTAGTCCAATCCAGAACATTGTGCCTCAGACTGGTGCCAGACCGACCAGGTAGTGACCACATGCACCGGCTGAACCAGGTCACATTGTGCATGTGGGCCACCCAGGCCAACACCACAATGGCCCCATTGACCCATCCTCTCAGTACCATTGTTGTTTCCTTGCAGGCAAGAGCTCTCTGTGGGAGCCTGCCTGGCTTGATCACTTCTACTGAAGTCAGAACAGGACACCTTTCCATGTGATCAAGAAGGAGAGGGTCATTCTCCCATCTCCTTGATCACAGCAGATCCCCATTCTGACCTTAGAAAAAGCAGTGACATACCTGGCAGGCACTTGCAGGGAGCTGCTTGGCTGGTAAGAAAGCATTGGCATCTCTGAAGAGAATCCATTCTCTTCCCTTCACTGTTCAGCGCAGACTGAGGGGGATGGTGCAGCTCTTGGTGTGTGGACAAGCTGAATCAGACCTGATCCAACTGACCAAACAGCCAAAAGAACCAGAAGCACTCTGGGTTTTCTGGAAACCTCAGTGTTTTTTTTCTGATTTTGTTTATTTCATACCAAAGTTAGGTTAAGGTCTGAAAACCATGCATCCTCCCCAGAGGTAGCTGTATGTCATGGAGACTGCCAGCACTGGCTTTGGGGTGAGTGCAGCATTTTTCACCAGTTTAGACAAGCCCTGTGATCATAATGGCTTGCTTAGGGTAAACAGATGGCTGAGGTGACATTAAAACTAGAAGTTACCTGGACCACACCTCCCTGTTTTGTACTGCTTCTGCATTTAATTATTGTCATGATTTCAGGTACAATTATGTCCATTCTCCACCAATATAACACAGGGGCATTATCTACACATTTTTACTGAAAAGTAAGTCTAGTTGAGTTCAATGAGACCCAGACCCAGACAATGCATAAAGCTTTGCTTTGATAATGACATTTCTCACACTTATGACAAGGGATCCCGATATCTTCCCTCAAGGTAATGTTCCTGTGTGAGAAACAAATTTCACAAGCACTAACAGTGAAATAATTTGTTGCACAGGAGTATTATCTACACATTTTTACAGAAAAGTAAGTCCAGTTGAGTTCAATGAGACCCAGACTGAGATAAATGTGATACATGCCTTAGCTACATCTTGTTTGGACTACTGTAATGCACTCTACCTGGGGCTGCCTTTAAACAATATTTGGAAACTTCAGCTGGTCCAAAGAGCTGCAGCCAGGCTGCTAATGGGCAGATTACAGGGATCACACAGCATCCCTGTTGAAACAGCTCCATTGGTTGCTATTTTGTTTCCGGGCACAATTCAAAGTCTGGTGATGACCTTTAAAGCCCTATATGGCTCGGGTCCAGGATATTTGGCAGACTGTATCTCCTTCTATGAGCTGGCCTGGGCTCTGAGATTCTCAGGGGAGGCCCTATTCTCCATCCCACCACTATCACAAATATGGTTGGTGGGGACACTAGAGAGCTGAAGAGCGGGCTATAAATACTACTACTACTACTACTACTACTACTACTAATAATAATAATAATGTGTATAGCTTTGCTCTGTTAATGACATGCCTCATACTTATGATAAGGGATCCAGATATCTTCCCTCAAGGTAATGTTACTGTGTGAGAAACAGTTTTCACAAGCACTAACAGAGAAATAATTTGTTGCTCAGAAAATAAAGTTATTCCCCTAGCTTAGATGCTTTCATATGTTGCAGAATGTTAATACATGAGTGGCACCAAGAAAAAACAATAGAGGCCTGAGAAACATTGATTAATTTAAATTAGAGCAGACTCATTAATTAATTGCTCAATGATGAGTCCACACAAAGATAAATCTCATCAATTTTAATGTGTCTTCTGTTGTTTTTGTTTTCACTGTGTGCCTTGAAGTCATTCCCAGCTTATGGCAACCCTAAGGCAAACTTATCACTGGGGTTTCTTGGCAAGATTTGTTCAAAAGTAATTTGCCTTTGCCTTTCTCTGAGACTGAAAGAGTGTGACTTGGCCAAGGTCACCCAGTGGGTTTCCATGTCTGATCAGGGATTTGAACCCTGGTCTCCAGAGTCATAGTCCAATGTTAAAACCATTATACCACACTGGCTCTAGGATGCATTGTAGTCAGGATTAATAATAGAATTCAGGTCAGTGTCTCTTTGTTGGTGATAGGGACAAAATGTAATTTTTGGGGTAACATTTTTAGATTTGTGAAAAAGAAATTTAAAAAGTATATATTCTGCATTAGCACTCCAATTTTAAACACAGTTCATCTAAAATAGTCCTATTGATTTTGATGTACTTAACATCCAAGTACATACACTTAGGATTGCAGACTTATTTTAATTTCTGGTTCATGATTCAGCTTTTTCAAAGAAGTGTAGATCTTCAGCATTTCATGGACCCTTCATTTTCTGATTTATTCATTTTTTAAAAAGCTAAATTTGGTTTGATTTAGGCTTTTGAAGGCTAGCAGAAGAGCTGACACCAGCACTTTTGAACCATGCTTGCTCAATTGTACAGCATTGCAATGATGTAATGTCAGTGAACTGTGGTCCACAACATTAAGAAAGTGGAAGGAAACTCATAATGGCTAGAATCATTTTCATGAAATGTACTAATGTAAGAGGAATTACACTTGTAGAAATACTTTTTTTTTTTTGGCATTGTGCAAGGAGGTATCCATACTGACTTGCACAGCAGTTTTCTCCAGGTTCCTATTGGCATTGAGTTATTTGTATCCCTGCCTCAAACAACCACTAATTGGCTGGGATGTGTGCTAGGAAAGCTACATGGAGGTATCAGCTGGCTAGCAACCATCACCCTCTAGAGCTCCACTAGCACTGAATAGGATCTCAGCCATACTATGCTCTTGCTTTTGGGGCATATTGGAGACCAAACACCCTATATTATGCTGGCTAAAGGCTGCATCCTTACTGCAGAAACAAACTAGGTTGACACTTTAACCTCCATGGCTCAATGCTATGGAATTCAGGGAATTGTAGTTCTCTGATATTTAGCCTTCTCTGTCAGAGAGCTCTGGTGTCACAACAAACTACAGTTCCCAAAATTCTATAGCATTGAGCCACAGCAGTTAAAGTGGTGTAAGCCTGGATTATTTCTGTAGTATGGATGCAGCCAAAGTTAAAAATAAGCAGCTAGAGGTAGAATTTCCTTGGGCAATGGTCACATAGCTCTGCAGCCTTTGGAAGAGACAGGATGGCACAAATTAATAGAACCAGAGCCTTAGCTAGAAGATAAATGGCTGCTATAAAGTGAAGCATATAAAATATTTGCTAAGATTCAATTTAAAAAACTTGGAAAGAAGCATGAAAGCATCTAGCTAAAAGAAAGGTAAAGGTTTTCCCTTTACATGAATGTCTAGTCATAACTGTCTGTAGGGGATAGTGCTCAGCTCTGTTACTAAGCCGAAGAGCCAACATTGTCTGAAGATGACTCTGTGGTCATGTAGCCCGCATGACTGCATGGAACGCTGTCCCCACTGAAGTGGTACCTATTTATCTCCTTGCACTTTTACATGTTTTCAAACTGCTAGGTTGGCAGAAGCTGTGACTAGTGATGGGAGCTCACTCCATCATGTGGCACTTGGACCTCAAACTGCCAACCTTCCGACCGTATGATAATCAGAATTGATGTCTTAACTGCTATGCCACCATGACATGTAGATGAAAGCATCCACAGAAATGAAATTTGTAAGCAAAAGGTGGCCTACTTTTTCCACTCTCATTTGTGTGTTTTCTTTACAGCTCTTGTACCAAATCGATTTCAGAATGGAAGCAAAAGGAGTGACTCCTATTCCTGTTGCAATGCAAACACTTATTTGATACTGAAACACATCTGTTGCTGCAGCTCCAAAGGGGCCATCCACAGCTAGCCTGCAATGAGATTTAGAGAAGTATTACTCATTTGTAAAAATCAATATGTTCTTTTTGATGAGTTTATCTGTGTGTGAATTTGATTTTGTTGCATTTGTGAAATATTTCTTGGTAACAATTTCTGTGATTAATTTTTATCCCGGTGATCTTCAGATGTCACACAGAAACTCATTATCTGTCCCAAAAAACTCAGTTTAGAAGCTTAACTCTAAAAGCTTTGTTGGGATGCATTGGTGAATGAGTAACAAAGTAATAAACCAATCATAAGAACGAATGGCAGTCTCCTGTTTCATTCAGGTAAAATGTTTAGATCAGGCACTTAACTGAGATGATATTTTAACATACATTTAAATGTTCTCCCTTCTAATGTAACAAGTTAGATGTTATAGCTTATTATTGATAACCTGAACTCAACTCACTGACCCTTTTCTATTGACTTTTTTTTATCTGCAAGCAACTGTTTTCAAACAGGATGTTGAATTTCTTTGCAGCTCAGTGCTATTATCCTGTAAACCTTCTCCTCCACCTTTATAAGGGTTACCTTGTCTCAGATGTTCTGTTAAATTGTAACCATTGTTTTGTAACAATTATAATGCAAGAAGAGGGTTGTTAACAGAGCTGGTAAAAGAAGAATGCTAATGAGTGAGGAAGAAATTGTTATGGAACAACAAAAATGTAGAAAGGTATGCTTTCAGATTATTCTCAGTGTATGTACAGGCATCATAGCATAAATAAACCTCTCTGATTTTCAAATACTTCTCTGCCAGACTGCAGCATAATGACAAGCATAGATAAACAGAAGTAAATGCTGCAGACTTCAATGGGACATGTTCCCAATGCTTGAATTTGGGGGTCCAAATGGACATAATCCCAATTATGGTAGAATTATCTTTTGTGTCCTCTGTACAGATTTTAGAAAGTGGCAAGGACAAGCACTGCAGGAACCTTTGTGTTGCAATTTTAAACAGATGCCTAACTTTCCCTTTGAAAACCATGCAACATCAAAGTGTTTAACTTTGGCTGGATCATGTTCACATCAAATTATATGTAAAAGTCTTTTCACAACAACATAATTTAAGTAGCCTTTCTGAAAGAAAACATTAAAGTAAGATATGTTTTTCCTTCTGCCAGTTAACACTGTATATTTTATTACATCTATAATTATAATTTATACCCTGTTTTGGTATGCAAAAAAGCTTCACAAATCTTATGTTAATCAAAAGCAAAATGACACGTCTGCAGCTCTGCAATTAATTATCAAACCTTGGCAGTTTCCAGGGATCCTTGAAGGTTTTTTCCTCTGCTCCAAAGGCACTGAAAAGGGCCTCTGTCCAATCCCCAACTGACCTTATATGTACACTGAAAAAGTCATCTTCAGGGGCTGAAGTAAGAGTAAAAGGATGCCATTCCAACTGTGATATAGCAGAGCACTGGAGAAAGATATACTGACCGGCTTCCATTTTAAAGCCACGTTTTTTCATATGTAGCTCTAGGACTCCAGAGGAATGAGACACCACCTAAACAACAAATAACACATGATACTTGTGTTCACTCACAGTTCATGCAAAAATAGATGCATATCCAGATGAAGGTCAATTTCTTTATTATAGCTTTTTCTTAAAGAAGGAGCTTTGAATCACTTTTAAGACTATACAGTTAGTTTCAGTGAAAGCTTCCATGGGACGTATCACACCAGCCCATCGAGTTCATGGTGCCATGCCCTTTCTCCAGGAGCCAGGCATGTCCTCTGAGTGGAAGGAAGAGGATGAGAGGCAGAGGACATGCCGCACCAGCCGCCTCTGGAGGTAAGCCTGCACTCAGTACCAGGACCATGTTCCCAGAAGCAATGTTTCCCTCCATCTGAGCCAAACTTACCAGTACCTACTCCCACAGAGGGATGCCAGGAAAAAGAGAGAGAGCACTATTTTCTGTGGTTAAGTAGGAAGCAGGCTGCTGACTGGGAGCATCTGCAAGGTTCAGATGGGCTATAAATATCCCAACACCTTCCTTGCTCCACCATGGTTGACAACTAGCCTTCATGCTTGAGAAATACCTTGCTGTTGCCTTGAACCTTGACTGGTTGCTTGAACTTTGCCCAGACCTGGACTAGTCTTTTGGATTTCCCCTTTGAACCTGCTGTACTGGACTGACTGAAGCTTTGTTATGAACCAGGACTGGATTGTACGACCATTGCTTTTGCTACCAATGACTTGGTACCAATGACTTTCTCTCTCCTTCTCAGTGCTTGAAAATACTGAGACTCTGGACTGAGGATTTGGCTAGCCTCCCAAGGGCAAAACAGGATAGCTGCAATTGTATTGTTGAAGAAAAGGGAAACATACTGATTTGAAAACAATTGCTGTCACACTTCTCAGCAATTGTGCTATTATGCTGCTTTGGACCTGCACTTGCTCCTCTGCACTGCCTCGCTAACCACACCTTGCAGGGTGCCTACTTGAGAATAGCAAGATGGGAGAGGGAGAGGAGGAGAATCATATATATGAATATAGCAACCCCAGTGGAAGGACCTATGGCACTACCTCCTATGGAAAAATAGTGATATTGGGAGCTATTGATGAGTTTTTCTCATCATTGGAAAAATATGCTCCAACAACGATTTTGAAATGCAAAGCAACAACAGGAGACACAATGTTGTGTGATGAACAGTGGCCCAACACACTGTTATCCTACTATAATTCCAATTTACTATCCATGTCAGATGTAAATGGGCTGAACTCCACAAAGCTTGTGGGAATATAAACTGATACAAATTTTAAATAAGATTTTAATTGGTTTTAATTCTCTTGATTATTTAATATACCTTTAATCTTAATTTTGTATGCTTTAACTACCATACATATGTTTTATTGTACTCTCTGTCTTGAGTGTCAGCCTGGGTGAAAAGTAAGACATAATTAAGCAATGAATGGATTGATGGATTGAAAAACCTTTCTTTTTTTTATCTCCTCATTTTATACAGGAACAAACTGACATGCTTATTTCTTAAGAATTTTCATTGTAGTTTGAGCTATAATTATTTTATTTATCTTATTGTTTTACTCTTATTGTTATGTAATTCAGCATCATTCCAGGTTTTTATTAATAATTGTATTATTATGGAAAAGTCAAACACAAAAAAGAAGGAAAAAAAAAGAAAAGAAAAAAGTCAGAATCATACAAGCCATCGTATTCCCTACTACCATGTATGGAT